GCCAGTGTCCTTTTCTTATGTTGCTAGGACTGTCCCTCCTATTTTCTACACTGATCCAAGTCCGCTCCTCTCCAGTCTGGGAAGCACCCTAGATCACCTCCCTGATCTGGGGAGGTTTTGCCCGGGGGCACCCTTTACTCCCAGCTGCTATAGGACTGCCTGTGTAGTGACTTCACCAGGAAATATGGCTTTGGCTCTCTCGGTTTCTATCTCATCTCCATGTAACAACTGCCTCCCCATCTCAAGGGCAGGCAGGACATTTCTCTTGGCCACACTCCTTCTTCCTGTGCCTTAGCTAAAGCTCAGCCCCCACACCCTCCCGACATCCAACAGCTCCGCTAAGAGTGTCTTAGCTTATTTTCTGAGTAAGCCCCACTTACAACAGTCCCCAAACTAGTAAAAGGAAAGGACCTAAGAGTGCTTGGAGCTTCTCTAATCAGATGCTTATGTTGAAGACTTGTGAGTCACTCTGACAGCTCATTACTCTGCAACAATTCTGTGCCTTCTGCTGAGGTGGCACCACTATCACTCTGTCTTTATCCTGCTGCTCCTAGACACAGGCATTACCCTCCTCCCAGATGAGCATGCATGCCCTTCCCTATGTCCACATCTAAATGTTTACAGAGCCCTTCAGTGTTCCTTAGCACAATGCAAATATACCTGCCACCAGCTCCAAGGTCTCCTACAAATGTGTTTCCTTTATGCACCAACCAGCCACAGGGGAATATCCTCAGATTCTCTGACATTTGTTTTAAGAGCATTAGGTTTAAACAGGCATGTTGCCTCATTTCTTAGGCTCTTCTTGTTCTTTTAAATCCCCAGCTACTATAGTATTTTGCTATTAATTGATATTTACATGACCAGTGACATTATTTGGATGGTAGTTACATTATTAAGGCAAAATTACTTTCCCTGATTCTGATAAACATAGCTTAGTAAACATTTCAGTGTTTTTAATTCACCTCATTTGTTTATCTTATAATATAACCTGTGCTGATGAGCACTGGGTGTATAAAACTAAAGCCTCAATCATTCTTACCACAAAGACTTTTAGGTCATTGATAGCTAACCAAGGGCTGTTTACAAGCTTCTTAATAGGGAGTGATTGGCTCTGACCTTGCCATGTGAGTTTATGAAGGCCAGGAAGGAAATGGGAACAAAAGAAAACTAATATTTAATGGGGGCTTATATATCCTAGAATTTTGACATAAATTTCAATCCACAGAACATCTGTATGAGACAGATACTATCACCCCATTTTATAGATGGACAAGCAGAGACCCAGAGAGTAAAGTACTCAGCTTTCAGTAACCAAGTGGCAGAGGCAGAGTAAGACCCAGGCCTCCCGACTCCTGACTTGGTGCACTTTGTGGTATAGCCCGTGAATGCGGAATCAAGCAGATAGCTGTGCAGTGTGGAGACAGTCTATAAGACAGTTCGGACTCTTCCTTTGCCCTTCTGATTGCTGTCATTTATGAGAGTATATTGTAGTTCTGTCTTTCCGAGTATTAAGAGCTTCATAGAACTTCCAGTGAATACTGAAGGTGATTTGAATCACCTTTAATCACTCACCAATGCCCTCAGTTCCTCCCCAGTCTCCTCTCAAAGGGTTGGGACTTAGAGGAAATTCAAAACATGCTGCACAATTGCCAAGCTTAGCAAAACTGACAAGGTAGGCCACGATATCATGCAGAGGAGCTATCAGCTGTAGAGTTCGCTTTAAGGCTTTAAAAGCTGCCTGTGGATAAAATCAATACAAGGAAATACATTTTAGGACATTTCTAAGAGGCATATAAAAACATATGAACACTGAATGGGGACGATATCTTTAAACAAGAATATTTCAATAAACATTGGCACAGTATATACAGGATAATATCAGAAAAGGAACAATAAACCTATTCATGAACCACAGTTACATGCCCTTGGACAACGGAGCACCTGTGAGGGGTTAAAGCAACGTGTTTCTTTGTTTAAAGTCACTGAAGGCCATGAACACATCAAAATGTTTGTATGGCCATCAATGAATTACAAGGGTCACAAATCAATTCATAGAAGGGACTCATATTCAGACAACATTATCTTGAGGGAATACCTGTAAGCAAGGTATAGATATTTATCAACATTGTTTAAACCAACACATGACTGAAAATTAAGCCGTGGATCTTATATATCAATGTCCAAGTGCAGGAAAAGTGAAAAATTATTATCTAACTGCAGAAGGTAGTATTTCCATATTTTTAAAAATAAAAATCTGAAACTTCTTCAATGAAAGCAGGGGTAAGAAACCAAGTTTGCTAAACAGGATTTCACTTACAAAGAAAAATCAGAATATTCCCCAAATGCCATTTTCAACATTGCAATTTATTTCTTTAGCAAATACTTATGTTTTATGTGTTTCTATGTTTTCTTTTTTAAAAAATTGTTACCAACATTGGCCTTGATCAGTAAGTGAGGTACACAGAGCACCCCTCAGAAAACACTAACCCTGAGTTACAAGGTGTGATCTCAACCTCTCATTCGCTTCAGAGCATCCGTGGGGTTTTTTGGAAGGGTTGGAAGGAAACTGAAGATTAATAAGAAATGTCAGAGGCTTGAATTAGGGTTCATTAGTGACCAGTGAGAGAGATAAATCATAGCATAGTGAGGCCCAAGACAAATTATGATAAAGCAGAAAAGGCTTCTGTGAAAAAGATTTCTGTAGTTAGATGTCTGAATAAAACAAGGCATGTTCTCTGGAATTGATACATTTAACTGTGAGACAAAACCCAGCCAGTTTCCATTCTGGCACACATACAAAAAAATACAAACCTTTTCTGGCAGAGTTTTGAACATAATCAGCACTTCAGAAGAATGGGGTATGAACCATAAATTGAGGAAGACTTTTCCATCCGCTGACAGCAAACATCGTGGCCGGGGCTGAAATCTGCAAGTGTTAGAAAAAAGGATCCATAGCACGCATTTCCCTCTAAACAAGAGGCGTCATGAATGACCCTGTCGAATCACCACCCTCTGTCACACAGGCCTGTCACCACAGGCCCAGCATCCACACCCCAGGGCAGCAGCCCTTTTCATGTCGCTCCCAGGTGGCCAGTTCATAAATAACTCAACAGGAAGAAGAGCAGTTAGGCTGATTTTAGCCAGAGCTGCGTGGGGGAAGGAGTGGGGATGGAGGGAGGAAAAGGCGTGGTGAGAAAAGACAGGAAGACCATGAATTAGATGGCCAGCACCACACTAGGTGGTACATATTTTATGTCACTTAATTCATCTGGCAACCTCAGGATGGATCTATTTTTGTTCCTCTTTCACAGCTGAGGAAATTGATGCCCTGAGAAGTTATGGAGATCTACCCAGCTCCTAAAAGATGAAGTTAGAATTCAAATGCACATCTCTTTGGGAGGCCGAGGAGGTGGATCATGAGGTCAGGAGATCGAGACCATCCTGACTAACATGGTGAAACCCCATCTCTACTAAAAATACAAAAAATTAGCCAGGCACAGCGGCGGGCACCTGTAGTCCCAGCTACTTGGGAGGCTGAGGCAGGAGAACAGCATGAACCTGAACCTGGGAGGTGGAGCTTGTAGTGAGCAGAGATCGCACCACTGCACTCCGGCCTGGGCGACAGAGTGAGACTCCGTCTCAGAAAAAAAGAGAGAATTCAAATGCACATCTATCTGTCCAGCCGTAGAATCTGGGCTCCAAAACCAGGCTCTGTTTCTCTTGCCTTGCCACCACATTTCTTGCCAGGTTCTCCAGCTTCTGGTGTTCTTTTCCTCCTTTCTCCTCCTCCTCCAAATACCTTATTATTTCTTAATAAGGTTAGTCATCTCTTCGTTTAGTCGGCTCTTTGTTGTAGGTTTATATATAAACGTATTGTCCATATATGTCTGGTTTAAGGATTCACACAAGCCCAGGTACCCACCACCTGGCCTGAGAAAAGGAATGTTGAAGCCTGATATGCACTTCCCTGGTGGCCCCCAGATGAACCTCCATCCTGAATTTTACATCAATCAATGCCTTGTTTTTTCTGATGGAAAATCCTTGGTGCATCCGTGCTGCTGCAAGTGACTGATTTGTGGGTTATTAGGTTGATTCCATATCTTGGTTGTTGTGAATAGTGCTACAATAAACATAAGTCTCAGGATTTTAATCAGTTAATTCTCAGCTCAGGAATAAAGTATGGTCTTAGTTTGGAGAATTGCCTGTCTTTTAGCAACCACAAAGTCAAACAATTCCTGTCCTGAAACAGACCAAAGCCAGCGTAATCCAGTCTCATCTCTATTATTCAGTTCACCGTGCTCATTCCTGCCTAGAGGTAACAATGAATATCAAAACTAAAAAGTTGCAGGGTCTGCATCTCCTTCCTTAGCCTCTGAGAAGCACATGTGTCCTTGGAGCCACTGGGCCCTCTACCAAGTGCTATCCTTTACTTCTTACCTGTTATTTCCTGCCATTTCCAGTCCTTCCTGCAGTGAGCAGCCATCGTCTGAGAAGAGCAGAGATGACTGCAGAAAGCTTTAGGTGCTCAGTACATGAAGCATAGCCTGGTTCTCAGCCCCACAAGGAGACTTGCCCTGCCCCTTGTGGATGGCCTGCCAATTATCTGGCCTGGCAGTTCCCCAACCTGTTCAACACTGTCCCCTTTCATTCCCCTTCAGCTGACCACTTCTGGGCCACACCCAAGACTTTATTATCTTCTGAAACTGTATCACCTCCAAAGTCTTAACTTTCCCAGTCCCATATTTTATTCCTACAGTTTTCTGGGTCATCCACTCTCACTAAACTTCCCTTCCTTTATTCCAAAATAGGTTCCTTGACATCATCCAGTCCTCTGGTCTCCCTTTCCATCTGTCAGCTCCTTTCTGACCTCACTCCCTTCCCTACCCAGACTGGATCTCACAGTCAAGCACACGAAGCACTCTCTCCCCAGCACCTTCAATTCTCTGCTGCTTTATACTCACACTCCATCTACCTAGCAAAGCCCCAGTTCTGGGTCCTTCCAACTGCTCAGCTTGCTGTTTCTGATGGCATGCCGCTGAGCACAGCTGGAGGAAATCACACTGCTAATTATACTGATGGAAATGGTTTCCAGCCTGAGCTATGTCACCCTGGAGCAATCCTTTTCCTTTCCTTTTCCTTTCCTTTCCTTTGATCAGCTCTAGTGCCCATTTTCTTGTTTCATGATTCCAAGCCTTCTTTAAGGCCCCCATACCAAATTCCTGCCAGCAGATGATGACACGGTCTGCTATTTCATGATCAAATTAAAGGCCACTGCTGGAACTCCCTCCCCTTCCTGACGGCCTATTTCCCCAACCCTCACCCCTAATACACATACACCCTCCCTTTCAACCAGTGTCAAAGTCAGAGGTGCACACCTGGGATACAAAATGAAGACATCCTCTGCCCTCCATGCTCTTACCTTCCAGAGGCAGCTGGGAACCATGACACTGTGGTAGCAGCATGGCTGATGGAAGTGTACCATAGTGCAGAGGATGCCCAACAAGAAGCACCTGAGCCTTGTTAAGAGGCTGGTGGACACAGCTGAGGCCTCTGAGCTGTGATTTCTCATCTCCTTCCACATCTCTTTGTCCTAATGACATCATCATCTTTTCCCCTCCATTAAAAAAATTGTGGTAAAATATACATAACACAAAATTTACCATTTTAGCCTTTGTTTGTTTGTTTGTTTTTTCAGAGCAGGAGTGGAAGTTTATTTAAAAGACTTTAGAATTCTTTTGTAGTTCATGAGCCTGACAATTGGGTGTTCACGCAGGTGTGTGAGATGTGCTACTCTCGAACCTTGGTACAACGTCATCACACTACCTGTCTGACCTCAAACTGCTACTGGGTGAACTCCAAGAAAGGTAAAATCTGTAGCTCAGGACACGTGGAATTTCTGTGCCGCTTATGTGTTGGGGGGAGAAACACCCAAATTCTCCCAATACATTGCAAGTCTCCTAGGACAGGCACGCATTTGATGGCCTTGAAGAAGTGTTCGTTGTATTTGCTGAACCTCCTGAGAGGCCAGGCACGCCACCAATACATTTCAGATTAGTTGGGCAACGGGGCCAACCACGTGCTCCCCACGCCGCCTGCGCTCCAGGGGCACTCACACAGGCTCCCCTAGAATTTCTCCAGGAAGCCGTTGGGTAGGGCAGAGGTGGCAGCTCCGCCGGCAGCTGCTGCTTCACCCGCTGTGCCGAGTGAGAGCGCCGCCTGTGCTTCCCGGAAACAGGCTTCAGCTCCTCTAAGGCCGTGGCGCAGCTGGACTCCGAGACTGAGTCGCCGCCCAGGAAGCGGGACTGGGCAACAAGACTGGGGTGTGGCCGGGGTCAGAGCCGAAACCGGGGTCCGAGTCAGAGGGGAAGCCGGGGCCAGGCTCCAAGAGGCCGCAGGGGTCCCAGACAGAGCGTAGCTTGACGCCACAAGGTTCGGGGCCGGGGAGGTCCCGGAGTCGGATCAGGAACCAGAATTGCTGCCGGGCGGGGCTTCAGGGCAGCCCTCGGAGCGGCGACCGTCGATGGGGCAGGGGCAGGGGCCGTAGCCATCCCCGGCGTTGGAGGGGACGACGCTCCTCTGCCACAGGTGGAAACCCCGGGGATCCGGTCTGCAGGCGCCACTGCCACACTGACTGCCTGGAGGCACCGCTCTTCTTCCAGTGGCCAGGGTGGCAGGTGGACGCGCACCACTGGATCGTCCTGCTGGCGCCCATGATGCTGATGGCCGCGCTGGGCACCGGCTTCCTTCACCTGCCCAAGGACGAAGAGGAAGATCTGGAGGAGCAGTGCACCGGTGGGGAGCCGGGCCAAGGCGGAGAGACGCTTTGTGCAGGGGCTGTTTCACCACCAACAATTCCTACCACCTCTCCGCCTCCAGGAGGCGCACCCAGGCCAGTTTCACCTGGATTCTGGTGGGCTCCCACAGCAACCCACTGCCGGAACCGGACATCTTTGCGAAGTCAGTAAATTGGACAGCGCGGTGCAGGATCTACGTGTGACACAGGGAAACGGAAGCCAGAGCCAGTTCGAGTAGGTGTGCGTGAGGTACAAGAGGCTCTGTGTGTCCCCCAACCCGTTCCTGGATGCCTGGCAAGTGGACAAAACATTCGACCTGAGTTACAACCACTATGTCTGATCGGCTTCTTTGGAGGACACATCTTGAAATGTAACTGGCCTAGGTAATGGGCTGCTGAACTGCCTGAAGAGCACCCTGAGGAAAACATGCAGAGCAAGAGTGGCTCAACCCATTTCCTCAACCAATTTAGCAACATTAAGAACACTCTGGCCTTGAAGAAAATTGAGGTATCTGGTAGTTCAGGTTTACAGGGAGGTCAGGAGAAAGTGGGAGGGATGAGGAAGACTTGCTCTGAGAACCCAAACAAAAGCACTGCAGGATTACTTGACGGGGTCCTTGCCTCACAGCTGGGTTTGCTCTACTTAATCCGACTCTCTTTTTAATTTCTTTCTTTTCTTTTCTTTTTTTTTTTTTTTTTTAAGGCAAATTTTGCTCTGTCACCCAGGCTGCAGTGCAGTGGCATGATTTCGGCAGCTGGGATTACAGGTGCCCACAACCATGCCCAGCTAATTTTGTATTTTTAGTAGAGACAGAGTTTCACCATGTTGACCAGGCTGGTCTCGAACTCCTGACCTCAGGTGATCCACCTGCCTTGGCCTCCCAACGTGTTGAGATTACAGGCATGAGTCACCACACCTGGCCAATCGAACTTCCTTAAATTAACACTATTGGGGCCGGGCATGGTACCTCACACCTGTAGTCCCAGCACCTTGGGAGGCCGAGGCAGGTGCATCATCTGAGGTCAGGAGTTCGAGACCAGCCTGGCTAACATGGTGAAACCCTGTTTCTACTAAAAATTAAAAAAAAAATTAGCCAGGCATGGTGGTGCATGCCTGTAATCTCAGCTATTCCGGAGGCTGAGGCAGAAGAATTGCTTGAACCC